TCCACACATGATTTGTTTTTCCTGAATCCAGTTCTAGACAGAGTTTTGCATCCAGAGCATCTTGTAATCTCTCGACGATAATGCAGCCCAATATTTTGCTTGGCGTTGACCATAGTGTGATTCTGCGCCAGTTTTTGCAAAGGCTTAATTTTCGTTTCTTTGTAAGTTTGACAAGATAGCCCACTTCTCATTGGGTATGTATCTTCCATACTTTCTGCAATAGTGGCGTGAGGATATCCTCTAAGGTTTCCTATTTTATTTTCAGTGCTTCCGTGGGATTTCCGTCTGCCCCTGCTGGCTTTCTGGCATTCAGTAACTTCGTGGCATTCAATACTTCTGCTTTTATTTGGGGTTTAGTACTCATTCGTAGTTCTGTAGTTGCTGTTGGTATTTCTGAACAATTTTCAGGTGGTGGTTAGTTCAAGAGTCCTTCGAAGTAACTAACGTATTGTTTCCTTTGCTCATCTTTGGCAATTAGATTCCCTTAACCATTTTTCATTGGATTCATTCGCGTTGATCTCCTTCCGGATGGCGACCTGCTTATCTGATGTAGTGTTTCGAAATCCCTCCTACCTGCAGCTTGTTCTGCTTCAGTCACCGGTGTGTTGTAGAATAGTTTTTGGCCATTCTTAACACTTCACTTCTTTATTCCGTGGTTTGTACATTGGACTCAGTTTCTTCTTTCTTCGGGCATCATTGTGTTCCACCATCCCTCTCTCTGCTGACTTCTACATGTCCGTAGAAAACCATCCCCTGTCTTGCCTCTCTCCTTTTTAAGATATCTGTACATGCTTCCTCCTACTTCATTATTATAGAGTTCCTCCACGTAGGTTTTCTTAGTGATGCTACACAATGTCTTCGACTCTGCTGTGACGGCTGCAGTAAATGTGTCTTTTGCAATCTCGTCCTTTAGTTTGTGAGTGTTGCACTTAGATTGTGGTCTACCTCCAGGTTCTTTGAAGGCTTTCAACTTGATCTTGGAGGCTTCTTGCACTTGACAATGGTCTGAGGAGACACCTGCTTCCCTTCTCAATTTTGTGTGCAGCATACGCTGCGTTTCCACTTTCTTGAGAGTGAGATGCAGTCCATCTGATTTCTGATGTGTTCTTCTGGTGAAACCAAGTCAGTTGGTTTATATCCTTGTGTTTATATAAGTTGTCATCAAACACTAAATCACTGAAGGCAGAGAAGTCTGTGAAAAGTTCTTCATTTTCATTCATTTCTCCGAAAGCCTCTCGGTAGATGATGATGAGTTGTCTTCCTATATTTTTTGACTCACAGCTTGGCATTCATGTCATTCATTAGGATTTTGATGTCACCATCTGACTGAGATTTTATCTATTACTGTTCATAATTGTCTGGAGGAGTCTCCCCTCTTCTCTCCTGGGTCTGCGTTGTTTGTTAGCGGGTTGCATTGCATAATTGTAACTTCCCTTCCTTTTGAGTTGAATCTTGCTGTCATTATCCTGAAGGTGATTAGTTCCCATGGTATAACAGCCTTCGGTGCCCTTGGTAACATCATGCTGGCCACTCCCTCAGTGCCACCGTGCTTGTCGTAGATTATTGATCTCCACAGTAGTTAGGAATTTGGAAAGTCTACCTTTATCTCTCAGATTCTGAACACTTCTGTGCCCTATCTTCTTATCTCTGGCAATCTGAGTAGTTTTATCAGCTTAGGATATTGTGCGTACATGTCGCGTCCCCATGTTTATTCTTGCTTTCATCGAAACGAGACATAGACTGGCTTCCCAAAGGTTTTTACCAACCCGTATCATTCCGCCTCTTCGATTCCAGCAATGAATAAGTTTATTTTTAATATTTCTGTCTGCTGAAGTTTTTATAGAGGAACTCTCATTTGCAAGATAATTGTAATCGTTATTCTTACAGACACTGCAGTACCCTGGATACAAATAAGGATGAAGTGAATTATCACCTCATTGATTTAAAGTATCAGGTGCTCTTGGCAGATACCATAATATACCAGCGAGTTGAGAAAAAGACAGTAAGTTCAAATCTTCTACGAGAACCAACTGGCTGAGGAGAGTCTGAAGACTTTCTCTTCACTTAAACGTTTACAATTCAAGCTGGGGACAACTGCAATCAGTTGGCTGTAATTTGGTTTCTAAGTGTTACTTTGTAGGGATCTAACTGAATTCAAGTTATGAAATGATATCAATTAGAGGAAAAATGGAAACAGTGGGGAGTATTGGACAGACGTTTCGTCCTAGCTTGGGACTCCTCAGTTTTCCAACACCTCCAGGTTTTCGATGATTCTGATACTGTTGTCATTTTGTGATCTATTTTTTTTAAAGTCGGTATTATCCCTGAAAACCAACAATTGAAGACTAAATTAGTGCTTACTATTGATTAACTACAGGATTTAGTTGCATGCAGGGTGCTCTAATAATGAGAGGTCGTGATCTGTAGTGCTCACCAAGTCGGATATGAGGACAGATACTCACTGATGATATTGGCTGGTGGTCGCGCTGTATATCGTGTAACATTTGGGTTATCATCAAATATTTGACGGGTGAGTGATCAATGTACTTTCCAATTTAAGATCAACTTCAAATCTATTGAATGGGACTATGCTATGAAATGACCCATTATAAAATGATGATATTATAAGCTTAGAAAGCGTCTGTCCCCTCGACATGTAGGCATTTTAGCACATAATCAGGGAATCTGAGGTATGCCTTTCTGTTTTCTCAATGTACCTTCTACAACAGATAGAAGTATATTTGTATTCACAATTAGAGTTAAAATGAGAAGGGTATCTATCGACGTTTGACTGCACCAAAGGGGATGTTGATTTATAGACTGGAACCACGTGGTCTGCAGGTTAGGTTCTGAAGTATTTAATCTTCTGTTGACTATTTCTACAATGTTATCGACTTGTATGAATATAGGCTTCTTGTTCACTGTGATTCGTTTCACATTTAAATCTTCACTTCTTCCATACCTGTTGATGAATTTCTGAGGGTAATTGTTTTTCTTTTAACATCCCAAGAACTAAAAAAAATTCTTCTGACTTCTCTGTAGAGTATATCCTTCTGGCTCTGCAAAACAGAGATTTAACCGATGCTTGTTTACAGTCAGTCGAACAAGTACTATTGCGATTCAAGTATTGTCCACTCTTACGTAGACTTTCGGTGAATTCCGTTACATGGCGATTTCAAGGAAATGAAACTTCTTATTTACATTTTCTGAGCAATGGTGAAGTCATAAATAAATTTCATTTTCGTCAGTGAATAGTTCAAGTAGGTAGGATCCATGACTTTCATGCTACAAATGTGTCAGCTTTGTTGATTACACTATCACATTCTGCACAAACTGCTGCTTTGCTTTATTGAAATCCAACAAAGCCGAATGTTCATGTGAACATCTCTTATTTGTTGACAGTATTTGCCTTCAACTTACTTCACATGTTCATTCCTTCACATCTCGAGTGGAACATAGGACTTTAATCGCCAATTTTGAATTCCCAGCAGTTATGGTGGGTTTTGAAGGTGGGGAGGGGAGGGAAGGTTGCCCGACTTCTCTTCAATGGACTCACTATTGGCTGTGAGATTTAAGAATGCGTTGACTGCAGGTCGAACCACATGGGTAGTTGGTAAGAGCACTCCACCAATAAACCACCTACATCATCTTAGTAGTAATAAAAATGAAATTGAATAACTATTTATCAATTTCCTATGAGGAGATATCAACTGGTTTTTATGACTGCGTCACAGTGAGTGTTTAGAATGACAAATTACATCCAGTGGATTAGTAGATTTAAAGTTTCAAATTGTAATAGTATTGTAACAACAGAAGACAAGGGCCAGGCAACAGATCGTTTATTAAGGAAAATCAACACATATTTATAGATTTTAATGTACATTATTGTAGATTATTGTTAGTAGAAAATACAGTCTTTTGATTGGTTGTTTCTCACAGAAAGTTAACCTTGCATCTCTTTGTGGCTGTGTCAGATCATCCATATGCTAACTGTATCCGCCTACGCAAAGCCTTTGTTCTCATTTTCTCACCACCAATATTGGGGACATAAACATTGACGTCAATTACTGTCTACCAACTTTGGCTAGCAGCCAGCTCTCACCACACTCGTCCCCCCGTCAAAGACTTGCGACTGAAGTTGGTTCGGTCTTCTTGGTTCTTGGGGCTTTGCTCTTTTGTCTTGCTGTCTGGAATCTCGGCGCTTGCGGATGTTCACCTGTTTCTCTGTGTTTACCATTGCGATTGTGTCTGCGTAACCCCATCTCAACGTGACCATATGTGGTCCTTCCCACTTTGGAAACTGTTTGCCTGACCCTGTCGCACATTCGTAGGTATTTCGCCTCACACTTTAATATGCTGCTTTCTCCCGACCTCCCAGCAGCGTCCCAAGTAGCAGCCTCATCGCTGACAGATCTTGAACGCCACTCAACTGTGAAGAAGCCTCAAAGTCCTGCCCGAAGATCCATATGTCTCCATCAAAAACTGCAGGGCATAGGCTTTCCATTTGTCGGTAGGCAGCGACACCAAATGTAATAACAGAAGACAAGGACCAGGCAACAGATCCTTTATTAAGGAAATCAAAGCATATTTGTATATTTTCATGTACATTATTATAGTTTAGTTAAGCAAACAAACACAGTCTTCTGATTGGTTGTTTCTCACTTAAAGTTAATCTTTCATCTCTTTGTGACTGTTTCTTGAATGTCAGATCATCTATATGTTAACTGTATCCGCCTACGGAAAGTCAGTCTTTGTTCAAATTTTCTCACGACAAATCCTGAAAACGTAAACATTGACGTCAATTATTGTCTACCAATTTGGCTAGTAGACAGCTCTCACCACAATATGACTGCGTTACAAATTACATCCAGTGGATTAATAGATTTAAAGTTTCAAATTGTAATAGAATCACAGAAGTTCCATTCAGAGAAATATCCGAGCATGTACTGCCTATTAAAACAAAAGATGTGAATACTGCAAACAAATTATCTAATCAATTATCACATGCATAAAGCATAAAAAAAGATCAATATTCACTATATAATTTAAATTACTTGATTCAGCGTATTACAAAACAAGAAAACTGATAGCAGCTGTACAACTCAAAAAAAAAGCATGGAATTTACTGGTCATAGTCCAACAAGTTGTTATTTAACCTCTGTCCGACGACCAGAGAATGTTTCAAAACTACCGTGTACAGCGACATTGCTACCAAAATTACCACAAACACCGCCGTATGCCTGTCCATCACCATATCCACATAAACGTGTTCTGTCAACAGTTGGTTTTCGACCAGCCACCTATTATTCAACGACTAGATCGAATCCAAATTATCCACTGTTGCATTCACTCACCGCTAGCGCTGATCCTTCGACAACAGATCTTAGTGAAATTTGTGGTATACGTGTACCTTCGGTGTATTCAGCTGCACATAATGCCTTGTATACACGATATACACCAAAAGATTGGTATGCTGGTTACCAACATCTTCTGCAAGCGAATGATAGAGGTCAAAGAGATTCAGAGTGTTTACGACATGATACCATCCGATTGATTGATGATACTGATGAAAGGACTAAAATGAATCAGAATGAATCAAGTCGAGTGCTTGGTGATCGTATATCAGATATTGTATTCTGGGAGAATGAATTAACTGATGAAATCGATAAAGTTGTTAAAGAGAATAATGATTTAATTCGGGCGAAACGAATTACTGAGAAGTTGCTGGCTGAAACGGAGAATCAACTACACATAGCACAAGAATGCTTGTATCAACGTGAGAAACGACAAGGAACTGATTTAGTACATGATAATGTTGAAAAAGCTCTTTTAGAAGTAAGTTAATCTATCTATCTATACTACTGAATGGTTTGAGTAGTTCAAGGATTGCCCTTAAAATTTAATCCATACATTTTGTTCAACTTATTTTCTTATTAAGAAGACTAAGGCTGACTGAAGACTCCTTATGTTATGATTCGTCATATCCCTATTACAAGTTTGGTTGATGCAGCATAGACTAGTTTCGTAGTAGATCCTGTCTGTCAGACTTGAGATAGACTGACTGACTGACAGAAGTGCATTAGTGGACACACTAAGATTAAAGTATTCAACTAAGCACCGTCTGATATGTCTGTCTGTCCGGATTCAACATAGAACTTCGCACCGAAGTGCAGCAGTTCGAGTTGTCACGTTGCAAATAGCACACAAAGGTAGACAAGAAAATGAGTGAAGAGAATCAATAGAGTTTTGACAAGAGTGACAAGAGTGAAACAGAATGAGTAATGGTAGAGAGGAATATGAAAGATTACAGAGACTGAATACATCTGTGTAAGCCATTGACAACGATTTTAAGCCATGTCACCTATTGTCTCAGAGTCCTGAGGGCGGATCCTAACCCGGAAGTCTGCATCTCCCTCCCTACCTGACTCAGCTTAACTGTCAATGATTTCATGGATTGATGAGGCCATGTTTTTGTTTGGCCACCACTTACTCTTTCTTACTTCCAACCTGCACCTATATCAGTTAGTAATGCCCGTCCGTCGGGGTGGGGGAGGCGATGGTTAGGCATGTGCAGCACGTGACCTGGCCGTCTCAATCTATGTGACTTTATAGCCTCGTCGATTGATTGATTTTCCCTCTTTGCCCAACACTCTACGCCTAACGTCAACATTACTTACCTTATTATGCCACCTAACGTGACAAAGAGATCGTAGACATCTATGATCAAAAACAGTCAACCTTTTCATGTCTTCAATTTCGTATTGGCCATGTTTCAGAGCCATAGAGAAGGACGGAGCGAACTGGTGAGCAGTACACATGTCCCTTGGTTGATAGTCGTATGTTACGCCTACGCCAGAGACGGTGTAAGTTAGCGAAAGCAGCCCGAGCTTTTTGGATCCGTGCTGAGATTTCGTCACCAATCAATCCGTTGGTGCTGATACAACTTCCCAAATAGGTGAAGTGGTCAACATGTTTTATCACTTGACTCCCTATCACTAAGCTAGGAGATGACGTAGTCCAGTCCTGTAGCAGCATCTTACATTTTACAGAGGCACCGTCTGATATTGATAATACTGATAAAGTTAACAGTATATGTAAAGATAATAATTGCAACTATCCAGTGATACAGGGAAGGATAACTATTGTAGGTTAGCCGTGAAGGCTTTGGGAGGGAGAAAGATTGAGCAAACATTTTCTGAACATATAGGTAGGGTTGAAAATCTTGTATGGAAACTGTCTCAGCTACGCTTAGCAGTTGAAGGTGTACAAACTTAAAGAATTCGGGTGACATATTGTATAGAATTGGGAAGACTGAATTTTTTTCTCAGTCTTCTGATCCGTATCCACAAGGTGTCCGCTAGATGTAATGGAATAAAGATGTATCGAAAAAGGATGACAAGTGTAGTAAGATTATGGAAACGGAACATACAAAAGAGTATTCTTAATTAAAGTCACTCAGGCAAATATCAGACATATAATAAACGATGATACCATTAAGTTACACTGAAAAGAAATCAACACATTTAGAATCAAAGGAAGCTGGTTCAGTGGTAGAATGTTGTCCAACCACGTGGCAGATTCAGGTTCACTTCTCGTCTGGCGTAACCTTACACCTCACCTCATCTAATCGGTAGTAAACCTGGAAAAGTGAGGAGGCTAGCCGTAAGGCTAACAACTTCACCCGGTAAAATAACTCCACCGATTACTGAAACTTCAACAGCCGCGAGCTCTACCTTCCCCCTTCAGAAGGTAAGGAACCAATAAGATCTAGGGCTAAATTATCAACGGTACCTAGGTATTGAATGACTTTGTCCTAGATATATAATTCAAGTATTAACCGTTTGACAACTATTAAGCTTGAGAACTTCTCAAGAGACTTGAGCTTGGTTGTTTATTTCTTATCAATAAGGAATTCATTGTGTCTCTTCATGACTTTTGGCAGTCAGATGTCGTATGACTGTATTGCTCGAAGGCTTAGTGCATATGTTTAGTGTCACCACATTTTGAAAAAGCACTCAAGATTAGGACACACGAACAGAAAAATGTCTTACATTTTGATTTCTTCGTTGTCGCTATTTAAGACGTCACATAAATCGTACATTCAAGTATTGGTTTGTAGGGATTTGACTGATTGATTTCAGGATTTCAGCTAGCGGTCGCGCTATGTCGTGAATGGGCAGAGGTTGAAATTAATGAGCTGGCCATTGGATCGGATCTCAGTGGCTTAATGGTCTACGAGCTCGCCTTGTAACCAGAAGGTCCTGGGTTCGAATAATGGGGTTGGGCGCGTACTAATGGAGAGAGTCCCATACTTGGACGAGACAACTAGCTGTCCAGTACTCCCACCTGGTTTTCCAATGATTCTCTAACCTATGTCAGCTCATGCTGAAATCCTGTTAAACTTTTTATTTTGCAATTAAGTATTTTCACTACAAAACTAGAGATTCCATTTCTAATGAGATGTGTATGTTCTGAATATAGAATTATATTTGAAGTGATTTGTGAAATATGAGAGAGACTTTTTATGTGCTCCCTTAACATATGCTGTTTGCATTACAAATATCAACAGATTGGTAAATAAGTGGCTGAATGAAACTGAACGTTTTGCTGATTTCTTTCTACTGGTCTCTTCTCCATTCTTTTGCTTTCCTAGTGGAACACATAGGACTTCAGGCTTGAAACCTTCAAGTTTCAGTATCCATGGTTTTTCTTATACGAGGCGGTAGGGTTGCTAGCCTCACGCTTTGCCTTCCCTCTTTACTGGGCTTATTATCGATCGACTAGTAAAGTAGGTGAGGCTTAGGAATGCGTCGACTAGAAATAAATCCTGGACCACCTTCCTATCTGTAGGCAGCTAAATTTGATAAAAAAGTGATATTTTCTTTTCAGTATAATTCTTGATCTGCATTTGATTCTTTGAATAATTTTCTTATCTTCTGAACTTATTTTCAAGCCTTAACTACGAAATGAAATCATCTTCCTATGATATTTATTATTATTATTATTATTATTATATTATTGTTTCCTTTATTTCCTAGAGGAACATAGGGCTTCAGCCGTGCGTCTCCATTGCGTTTGGTTCTCTGCTACAGTCTTCACCTAGCTCCATGTCTGCCCACACGCTTTCATCTCCTCTTCACATGACCTCCTCCGAGTCACCCTCACCCTTGCACTGACGACCAATTCGCCGCTGCTTCCCATTCTGTCGGGTTCCACTCGAGCAATGGCTTGTCTAGTGATGTCACTTGATGGCTTGTTTCCTCAGAGTATGACAACCCAATCCATCTCCATTTCTTCCTGCCTATTTGTTTCACAATCTGTTGGTTCCTGCTGTGTTGGTTCGCCCATTGCCAGAGATCCCTCTCTGTTGCTGATCTTTTCTGGCCGGCCGGCCATCTGATCTTGAGTAGTAATGAGCGAAGACAACTGGCTGTTAATGAAGGTCTGTAGTTTGTTTGAGATGCTGTTTATGACGCGCAGTGCAAGTCTCTGATCCATCCGTATAGTAGCACTGACTGACTTCACTTCTTATTCTGCATGATAATTCTCCACTTATATAAAACGCATAATGAAGACCCCTTACCAATTAACTAAAAATGTACAGTCATCTAAATATTTTAAGTCTTTCTGTATCTCTGCTACATTTCAGGAAGTGCAAGCAGTTCAAGATGCTCAAGCAAGACTGCGCTCATTCATTGATCGTGCAAATGTTCAAATTGAGTAAGTTTTCAGAAGTGTTTTTCTTTTAAATTTTAATTGTTCTCTGCATGCTACTAATAGACGGACACAAGTAGTAAGTTGAGTGACGTCTTTAGAAATACAGTGGTAATTTGGTTGAAAATGGGAAAGCTTCTGTAATAAAAGGTAATGCGAAAAGAGGAGGGTTAATATTCTCAGGAAAACTAAATAAGCGAAATACAATGGGGAAAATATTCGTTAGGCGAAATAACGGATATTATTTTGTAAATTAAATCAAAGCACAGAAAATCTTTACCTTAACAATTAAACTAACATTAAATCTAGTCCCATCAGTTTTGTTTTCTTCAGCTCATTTCTCTGCCCTTGTTGTCGATGACATCGATATGATCGTAAATTTTTGAGACTGGTGGTATTAGAGCATTCCTTAGTGTCTTGAAGGTTGTTGCATCGCTGACGGATGTACACGGACCGACCGAAAGCTGCTACCTAGATGTGGTGGTCGGGCTTGAACACTGGCTGAGACTTATGTCGCTTGAGGTCCTACCATGCCAGAAAGGTTGTTTGGGTAGCGGTTAGACAAAAAGCAGTTACCCAACCCAATGCTATGACTCAAAGTAAATCACAAAATATCATGGGAGACCGGTCGGGGCCCGGATTAACAACGACCGCGCTTTCTGCTGCCGTGTCATAGGGCAGAATTGATAAATATGCTACTGAGACACACCAAATGAAAAAGAACAAACAAAAACAGTCCGAGTGTGACCGGCCTCAAGCAGTTGTCCGCTGGGCTCTGCGGTCACGCAACCAACTTCCACGGTGTGGGCAGCCGGGAAGTCACAATAGCCCTCACAATCCGAAATGCACGCGAAACCTCTCTAATCCTCACTCATCTTTGTCTTCATCTTCACACAGACACAGAGCAAACTTGGTATTTTTGGAAACCTTGTTTTATAAACTAACAAGCAATGTAGTGGAAGAAGACTTTTGATTGGGTGATTCTAGGCTCAGTAGTCTTCTATACAGACGGGAATGGTTGCCAAAGTTTTCCAGTCTAAGGCTTGGTCCATATGTTTTGACCGAACAGTCCCAAAATAACTGGGCTCCGAGGCATCCCTGTTTCATGACTCATATGATTCGACAAAGTTTTTAAAAACAAGAGATGTCCTCTGTTTTGTTAATTTCTATTAATTTTCTTGAAGAAGTTCGGAACAGTTTGCTGAACAAAACGTTGGAATTACTCGTTTCAATTTCACTGGGATTGCACAAATATAATTTTTACAAATGTAGTTACCAAGGGAGTGAAAGATTGATCCTATTCTCATTTATATGAATAAATCCAATTTATTATTCATCACCTTAGCTCAGAGTGCATCAATGGACTTCTGTGGCAAACCTCCATGGTATTTGGTTCTCTCTCGTCACTTTCAACCGGCTCTACGATCATCCATCAGTTTTTATCTGTATTTTGCTTTATATCGTCTGTGTCAGCCTTAGACGCCTAATCCGTCACTTCCCATTGGTCACTTGGATAACTCTCCCACCTCCAGTTCTTTCTCCATGTCTGTAAGGTAGTAGATTCTTGTCTGGTTTGCTGCAAGATTCCTTGGTTGCTTACACTTTCTATTATTATTATTATTATTGTTCCCTTGGGTTCCTAGTGGAACATAGGGGTTAAACTGCACGTCTCCACTTGCTTCTCTCTTCTGCTGTACTTTTCACCTGCATCCATGTTAGTCCATACTGTTTCAACTCCTCTTCACACGATCTCCTCCATGTCACCCTGCACTGACGTCCCACTCGCCGCTTACCTTTCGGGTTCCACTCGAGCACTGGCCTGACACGCGATGTCACCCAGCGGCCTCCTCAGTGAGTGCCCAATCCACCTCCACTTTCTCCTGCACATTTATTGAGCGATTGCTTCTTGTCTCGTTTCTTCCCATAGTTTCTTGTTGTTTCTTGTTCTTTCCGGCCATCTGGTCTTCAGTATACGGCGAAGACAGTTGTTGATAAAGGTGTGCAACAGGCTGTTGGAAATATTCTTTGTCACCCGCCAGGTTTCTGATCCATCCGTATAGAAGAACTGACTGACTTGACGTTTGTATTGAAAATCCGAATCACTTTGTTGTTGATGCAGAGTTGAGTGACGAAGATTTCCAGATTGGTTTCATGTTGATGAATGTGTTTCTCGCCTTCCCGATTCTCGATTTGACAACCTCGTCCGTTCCTCCTGTAGTTGAGACAATGCTCCCTCCCTAGATAAGTGAATGAAGTAACCTCTTTCAAATCCCTCCCGTTGATGGTGATTAGCGCTGGATGTTGCTGATGCTGTTGTTGTTGTTGGTTGGTTGGTTATTTTCATAACCTCCATCTTGTCTATGTTCACCTGGAGTCCTGTCTTCTCTGGCTGCTTCTTCGACCAGTTTACCGGTCGGTTTTCGCTTGTAAGTCTTCGATTTTGTGTGAAATCAAACATAAATCATCCGGGAAATCAAGGTCTTCTAGGTTCTTCACGTCGTTGCAGGATATCCCTGTCTTCTCGTTTCCTTTTCTGGCCATCCGATTTTAAGTATCGAGTGAAGGCAGCTGTTGGTGAAAGTTTGCAGCCTGTTATAAATGTCCTAGGTGTCAATACCGCACAGAAGCATCGAGTTGACAAGAGTATTGAAAATTCTTATCTTGTTACTTGTACTAGGTGATGTAGATCTTCACGCCAGTTTCAGAATGATAAAATTCTGTAAATTCTGATCCTGGACATCCGTGCCACCTATAACTGAAATGATACTGCTTAGGTAAGTGGCTGGAGTGAATTCATTTAGATATCGCCCATTAATAGTGATTGGTACTTCTTGGCACTGGTTAGGTATGTGGAAGGATGTGAAATAGTAGTCATTTTGAGAGTCCTTTGAAGTGATCTGCGCATTGTTTCTTTTGTTTGGGAATTAGGTTTCCTTCACTAACTCTCATTGGTTTCCTCTGCGTTAATGTCTTTCGGGATAGAGACGTGGTTGTCTGATATAGTGTTCATAAGTCTGTCTTACCTGAGACCTGTTATGCTGCAGTTGCCACTGTGTCGTAAAATTATTTTTTTCTCTTTCCTAGCACTTGTCTTTATTGCTTTATTCAGTGATCTGTAGGTTTGGCTTCTCCTGTCCTTCTTCCTCCCCACACTGATTCATCTTCTATTTAACAGTATTGTTCTCCTCTGATAGTTTCCCGATGTCTTTGGTAAGCTATTTCTTATTCGTTTTCTTCTTCTCTCCACCTAAGGCGTCTTTATACACGTCGCTTCCAGTCGCTTTCGCAGACAGCCATTCATTGTCTTCCCTCTTCCTCATTCCTAAGACTGATTTACTAGTTTCCTTCAAGATCACCCTCAGAGTTCCAGTATTTCATCATGTAGGTTTTCATAGTAACGTTGCTTAATATTTCCCACATTCTCCTGATGGGTAGAGTGAGGGTATCCCTTCCAGCTTCGTCATTGAGTTTTTGCATGGTGACTAGCACTTACGTAATCAATGTTCTGAAGATGCAATGAGAAATGATAGCCAGTGGGATACCTCATGTTAGGGTGAAGTGAGCATGGCACTCATTTGATGATGAGCTATACCACGAAATAAGAGAAATCAGGATTCAAGTGTCAGTGAATTAAAACTCAGTGGCTGAATGCTTAATTAGATGTCTCCACAACCAATAGGTACAGCACTATATCCATAGTAATAGTGGTGGGTGCATACTGATGAAAAGTCGCCTATCAGGAGCGAACAGCTATCCAGTACTCTTTAATTTTCAACAGCTCTTCAACTGGCGTTGGATCTTGACGAAATCTACATTGAAATTAATCCATTGAGAAGTTTAAATACACGTTTATTTGTATCAACAGCGGGCAATGAGGAAACAGGCATAAAATGGACTCACACAAAAACAACTTGGAGGATCTGGACTTCGCCGATGATATATGTCTGATTTCCCACAAACTGGAAGATATGCAAGCGAAAAGCAACAAGTTGGCAGAAGAAGCATCCAGAGAAGATAGGACTTCAGATGAACATAGATAAAACAGAGGTGATGAAGATTTCTGAACAAGAACAACAACAACAGACAACAATCAGCATAAATGGCAGGAACCTGAAAGAAACAACCTCTTTTACTTACCTACCTGGTAAGCATCGTTTCAAATACAGGCAAACGGAACTGACAAGGATATCAAAGCAAGAATCGGTCGGGAAAGCAAGACAAGCTTTCACTACTCTCAAGTCTGTGTGGAGGTCAACAGTCAGCACTCAACATCAAAAGGAAAATAACATCCGGATTTTCAACTCCAATGTGAAGTCAGTCAGTGCTAGTATACGGATCAGAGACTTGCACTGCGCGTCATAAAGAGCGTCTCAAACAAACTACACACCTTCATCAACAGCCAGTTGTCTTCGCTCAATACTACTCAAGATCAGATGGCCGGCCGGCCAGAAAAGATCAGCAACAGAGAGGGATCTCTGGCAATGAGCGAACCAACACAGCAGGAACCGATTGTGAAACAAATGGGCATGAAGAAATGTAGATGGATTGGGTTGCCATACTCTGAGGAAACAAAGCATCAAGTGACATCACTAGACAAGCCATCACTCGAGTGGAACCCGACAGAATGGGAAGCGGCGGCGAGTTGGTCGTCAGTGCAAGGGTGGTACTGGAGGAGTCATGTGAAGAGGAGATGAAAGCGTGTGGGCAGACTTGGAGCCAGGTGAAGACTGTAGCAGAGAACCGAACGCAATGGAGACGCACGGCTGAAGCCGTATGTTCCTCTAGGAATTAAAGGAAACAATAATAATAATAATTATTTTTATCAAGTTTATATTGAGAACTATTTGCCTAAGCACAATCTTGAAATGATTCATTCCCTTTTTATTGTTTTTCTTAAAAAATAAAAACAAAATTGTGATATAGGTTAAATCGTGCAGCACAGCATGATTTAGAGGCAGACTTGAAGAATAAATTCACTGCTCAACAAATTGATGAAACAGCAGTTGGAATGAAGAATAGTTCCGCTGGTATACATTATTATGAAGGCATCGAAGACATTAATCAATGGTAATATTTATTTGTTTAAATTAATTTTTTGTAACTTTTTATTCATTATTTATGTATGTGTTTGCGTATTTCATTTGTGTTTAAGAGTGTAATGTTAACCTTTAATTGTTCATGTGGTTGATAGTAACTAGTAGTTGAAACTAGGAAATGTGTTTCGTTAATATTTAGAACTCGTCAACTGAAAATGCCTATAGTGGTGACGATCGATGAAGATGTCCCTCATTAGCTGACTTCATGATTGCGTATAAGCTCTCATCTCGTCATCACACCTTTTCTTTCCCGAAGTCCTCCGACTCATACCGAACATGTCGGGTTCCACTTGACGTGCAATACAATTCAACAGTCTCCTCAGCGTGTCCCCGGCCTATCTCCATTTTCTTCGGCATATTATTTGGTACATAAGAAGTTCTTGGTTGATTGGCTGCCTACCAGGGTTCCTCGCTGCTTATCTTCACTGAGCTGGCATCTAACCTTCAGAATGGAGCCAGAGTTAGTAGCTGTTTGCAATTAGTCTGTTGGAAATGCTCCACGTGACATGCCAAGTCTGTAAACTTTCAAATAAGCACTGACTGACTGACTGACTGGACACTAGTCTTGGAAATCCAGGTCTTGTTATTTATGCTGAATTAGGCAGATTTCCTCACTGGTTTCAGAGTAACGAAGACATGTCTTACTTTTCCGATTCTGACTAACCTTGATGTCCTCAACACTACGGTCTGCAGTAGGAACGATGCTTCCTAGTTTACCAACCTGTCCTAAGCCCGGAAAAAGTGGGAAAGGTTATGAGTGGAGTTAGAGAACCTATCCTAAAAAATCAATCTAATCACTGCAGAAACTTCAAGGCACACGGTGAATATAATACCTATAAATATTTATCAGTAGTACATCCCCCATTTGTATATATATTCAAATTATGAACCAGTTACTTTAATTAGGCCATGATGGTGTCAACTATGAGAATTATTCGACGTTCTTTGAGTCTTGACTTTTGATCATAAATGTTTCGAAATCAGACTTGATTTCATCGGAGTTTTTAAACATTTGAGGAATAATGCCACATCTTGAGTTATGAATTTTATTTACAAGTTCAAAGTAAATTATAGCACAACAGAACAAAATGTCTACTAACAGGATTCAGTATGGGAAGTATGTTGGTTACATGAACCAATCAACTGCACATATTTGACACATCATCACACACTATTTGAAAATACTAACAGTATATAGTGATCTATGAAATTATGATATTCCTAATTGTGGTGTACTGGAGTATGCGTCAGACAGTGGGAAACGAGAAGACAGGGATATCCTGGATCGACTTGAAGAACCTAGAAGACCTAGATTTCGCGCGTGGATGATTTATGTTTGATGTCACACAAAATCGAAGACTTACAAGCGAAAACCGACCGGTAAACTGGTCGAAGAGGCTGGCAGCAAAGACAGGACTCCAGGTGAACATAGACAAGATGGAGGTTATGAAAATAACCAACCAACCAACAACAACAACAGCATCAGCAACATCCAGCGCTAATCACCATCAACGGGAGGGATTTGAAAGAGGTTACTTCATTCACTTATCTAGGGAGGGAGCATTGTCTCAACTACAGGAGGAACGGACGAGGTTGTCAAATCGAGAATCGGGAAGGCGAGAAACACATTCATCAACATGAAACCAATCTGGAAATCTTCGTCACTCAACTCTGCATCAACAACAAAGTGATTCGGATTTTCAATACAAACGTCAAGTCAGTCAGTTCTTCTATACGGATGGATCAGAAACCTGGCGGGTGACAAAGAATATTTCCAACAGCCTGTTGCACACCTTTATCAACAACTGTCTTCGCCGTATACTGAAGACCAGATGGCCGGAAAGAACAAGAAACAACAAGAAACTATGGGAAGAAACGAAACAAGAAGCAATCGCTCAATAAATGTGCAGGAGAAAGTGGAGATGGATTGGACACTCGCTGAGGAGGCCGCTGGGTGACATCGCGTGTCAGGCCATAGCTCGAGTGGAACCCGAAAGGGAAGCGGCGAGTGGGACGTCCAAGGGTGACATGGAGGAGATCGTTTGAAGAGGAGTTGAAACAGTATGGACTAACATGGATGCAGGTGAAAAGTACAGCAGAAGAGAGAAGCAAGTGGAGACGTGCAGTTGAAGCCCTATGTTCCACTAGGAACCCAAGGGAACAGTAATAATAATAATAATAAAATTATGATTTATTTTATTTCATTGAGTTACAGAGAGAACACAAGGTTTGAATCTTGAACTCTGGATTTTCAGTACAGTTGATGCTCTTCGAATTTTACTGGATGAAGTTGTTAGCCTCACGCCCAATCTTCCCCTTTACCGGGCTTGCTACCAACTAAAGGAGGTTTAGGAGTGGATTGGCGGGGAACAAATCCTTGGCTACGTGTGCGTGCATGGAGAGTATTTCAACAATACATCACTGACGCACAAGAACACCTGGGGCAGATCAATAATGTCAAGAAGAAACCTAAACATAACATGGCCTTGCAGTCAGATAACCACAGGCTTCATTGCTGAGATACTCCCTGTGCATTCGAAATTACTAATAGAATCCTGGTTAGTTTCTTTTCCTTGGCTTAGTAGTGTTCTCAAGTTCAGCGGGTATTCACATCTAGTCCAACGTCAGGGTAGAATTGACTTTGTGCACTACACACTGTCAGCAGAAACCAAAGACTATGTATAGATCTCCCATCAAGGCGTTTATTTATAAATATGTAAGCGTGTATACGATAGTTCATGTGCTCTTGAGTTTATATAAATATATATGCGTATATCATCAAGCACGAATGGAGCACAACCCACAGCAGTGACTCAATCAGAAGTTCTAAACTAGACTAGACTGTTTTTTCTTACACGTTGCCAGTGGAACATAGGACTTCAAGCTACAGGCTTGAAGTTTCTGAAGCAGTGTTTATTTTACAGGATGGGGTTTCTAGCCTCATGCCCAACCTTTCCTCTTCACCAGCATAATTTCTGGCTTAGCGAGGTAAAGGAGTGCGTCGGCTGGGAATCGAACCCCGGACCATGTGCATGGTTGGCGAGCGTCCTAACCGCTATGCCACCGACGCACAGACTAAACTGTAGCGGGACATATTAGGACGGAGCCTCTGACCAGCAACTCGTCTTAATATACAGGTATACATGCTGGTAGGCACACCCAATCCATCCCCTAAAGTAAATTTTTTTTGATTACAGCTTGATTCCACACTGTATTTTTTTAGCACAGGTATGGAATTTTTAGCATGTGATATCGGTAGCTCAAATTTCGCAGGCCGACCATAGATTTCAGGTGTGCGTCGGCAGGGCATCGAACTCCGGACCATGTGCATGGTCAGCGAGAATCGTAACCACTGTGCCGCCGACGCAAGTCCTGATAGGTGAAAAGCAGACCTTTGGACATATGTGACCACAGAAGATTCCGTTGCCACACTATGCCTTCAAAATGTCGTTGTTTAAAGCAGTATGTAGAGACAGCCGAAACAACCAGCTGTTAGTTCTGTTCTAATAAACTAATAATTTCACAGATTACCTCTAGAATTATTGCACTTATACAAGTAGTATATATGATTCAAGGAACAGCAGCCGTCTCATATTGTTAGGTGTGTACTCAGAATTGCATAGCTCAATCTCTGAGACAAGCATGTGACTACTGGTAGGATCAACCAGTTTATTCACAAAATGATGTATATACACTGGCTAACTAATTATACATTTGGTGATCAGGGGAACTAGATACACTCATTACAGCCTCTCTTGAGACCAGATAAGCACGCAGTATTATTCCGTGCATCAACCACTTGACAGCCTTCATCCCGGTGGAACATTCACACAGTTAGTATATATATATATATATATATATATATATATATATATATATATATATAGGTAAACATAGTTACTCTAATCAGTTGGTCGCACCAATCGGTTATGCACTTTATAGACAAGCCTAATAGAATTCATCTCGCATAAAAGACGAGCTAAATGATTTATTATAGGCAAGATTAGCGAGCGTAGCAACGCTATAGTGAACAAGCCCCTATAAATGTAGTTAGCATCCACATAATTATTAAATGAAATCATTAGCCCTGCCAACCATTTTAGCATACCAATGATTTCAATACATCTGCCAAGAGTGTTGAAAACTATCCACAATCATACTAACGAGAGTGGTATAGCTGACGTTCAATCCATTTGTATAGCTGCTGCGATATTCACGTGCGGATATGTGGGACCTATAATACACTGGTAATCATTTTCGATGACAATACAATCAGACTGTTCGATAACCAAATACGGCCAAGTTGAACTCTAAGCGCCACTAACTAACTACGAATGGAGAGCTACCACACCAGTGACCTTGAATTGCTCACTGAGCAAGTTAGTGAAACCTGGCAAATAATGTTGTCATCATCAATAAAATATATGCTCATCGAAGTGTGTTATGCTATTAAATGGGATATCTGGCAAGTTTCAGCTTAGGTTTGGGAAAGATTAAGTTACGGTTTAAGCCAAGGACAAGTTAGGGTTAGGTTAACCTAATAAAAGCGACATTATAGTTGATTCGAGTTAGATTACGGTTAGTTAAAGGGATATTTTCACGTTAGGGTTAGGTTCAGGAAACATTGGAGTTTTTGTTGGGGTTAGAAGACCTAAATGATTACATGTACAGAATGTGGTTAAATTACCCTGTTGATATAAGAATAGAACTTGTGCACTGTGGCAGAGTATAATTCCATTATGGGTAAAATTTATTCTGATAAAGGCTCACAGTGTTATACAGTAATATTTGCTGATGACGTTTTGAGCACAATTTATTGCTCAGTAAATGTTACTGTATAACACCATGAGACTTTATCAAAATAAATTTTACCCACAACGGATATATACTCTGTTGATACTCCAACCTTAAAACTGAGGGTTACTTTTATCACATGTGTGAGGAAGGTATCCTCTGTAACACTTTTCTACAGCTTTTATGCATTATTTCATAAAAATATATATTCCATACACACAAAAGCACCTCCTTCAAGTGACTGCAGCATTTGAGGTCATTCGCTGATTGGTAGTTAGTGGTGCTTAAAGTTTAACTTTGCCCTAAATACTGTCTAAACAGTTCGAGTTTATTTACCTAATGATATCTAACATAGGAATCTAGGACATTCGCTTTGTCTTACTATTAGATGGGAGTAATTACATCCCAGATATAAAAAAATGACATTCTCATATACAACTTGAAACAACCAGTCATAATTACTGAAGTAAAATAAAGATCTTTAGGATAAATAACAATTATTTTGCTGTAGACGTTATCACGAACCAGCATTAGTTACAGAATCAATGAAAACCATGATCCTCTAGTTTCTGGGGTGTCATCTGCCAGTGCTCAGTTATGACCCTACAATGGATCTAAACCATGGCCTACAGGTGTTGATGTGATCCTTTGGACCATTCACCCATTGAGCTGGAATTTAGAGATCAGTGATTTTTGACTTCTATCAATTCCCGATTTGTTGCCATCGCCAACCAATGCCATCCATCTAGAATCACAGATCCCCTATTTTATTTCAAAGTAATATATATTATGATGTCTGTTAGGTTTTGCCGTGTTTGCTGAAATGGGTAATTTAATTGTGGAGCTTTCATTGACCTTAGAGACAACAATATCTTCAGCACTAATACAGCACTAAGCTATCGGAATAAAGTTAGCACTGAAGATGCTGTCAAAATAAGACAATAAAAGCTTTACAGTTATACAATTGTCACCCAGAGAAAATAACATTATCAGAAATGTCCACCTAAGTTAAATATTTTGCTTCATTATATTCAATAGCCTATCAGTTCCAGAGACATGGAAAGCACACGTACAAGATATTCTTAATCGAAGTCGTGCTGAAAGAGCTGCAAGTCGAAAATTACGTGAAGATATTGGTGATGGATTAGCACGTGTTAGTCAAAATCTCTCTGATCACTGGAATGATGTCAATGAAGCTCTAGCTCAACGAATACGTGAAGTATCTGATGCAAGAAATAAACTACAGTCGAGTTTAGGTCATGTAAGTTTTAATGCTATCAGCTGATTTAATTTCTACTTACAATATTTATTTGAATATGATAAGATATTAGCTATGTATCAACAGTAGTTATACTTATTATTTGATAAATAGAGGCAGTCAGTTAGAAGCTGGGGTCCCAGGTTTCGTAGTTTTTGGCGCTCTTCATCAGACTGCATCTCTAGCCTTGATGGGATTGATGTTTTCCAGGAGATTCGAATCACATCACATCACCGACTCTTAAACTATTTAGCCTCAGGCCAGCCTCCTGTTGACACTGTGGTGGATAATCAGACTTTTCACCAGGCAGTAAGTAACTGGTTCCTAGTACTCAAGTACCTGATGATACAGATTCGAATCTCATAGGGGACACAATTTTTTTCATATTGAAAACACGACCAATAAATATGGCTATGGAGGCAGTCAGAAACGAACTCATTTCTGACCAAGAACTCGAACTTAGGACAAAATTGCCACTTGATGACATAATGCTGGGAGTACAGCTATGCTTGGCTTCCACAGTATTTAAATTCCAAGGGAAAATATACAAACAAACTGAGGGAGTTGCCATGGGATCACCAATATCTCCAGTGGTAGCAGATATATTCATGGATAAGTGGGAAAGCATAGCGATTAAAACGTTCACCCCCACCCCAAAAGTATGGTGGAGGTACGTAGACGACACATTCACTGTACTTAGAACACAAGATATAGATAGGTTTTTCGAACACATTAAATCGAAGGTTGAAGCAATTCAATTCACTTATGAACTGGAAATTCAGGAAGGGGAGCTGCCAATGTTAGATTGCGACGTAAAGAGGAAAGAAGATGGGAAGTTAAACACTAGTGTTTACAGGAAACCCACACACTCCAACAGATATTTGGACTTCCGATCATCCCATCCTATGTCAGTAAAAATAGGATTGGTGAAGTATTTAAATTACAAAGCACAAAAATTAAGTAGTACCACAGAAAATCTAAAACAGGAACTGATACACATAGGAGAAGCCTTGAAACTTAATAATTACCCGGATAAATTAGTTAAGAAATATGTGAGGAAATGTAAAAATAAAATAAATAATGATAGTAGCGATAGTGATAATAACAATAATAATGATAATAATAATAATAATAGTGATAATAATTATAATATTAATGACGACACCAACAATAAAGAATCCAAATCATCAGTAGTAATTCCATACAAGGAAGGAACCTCGGAAGCCTTACGCAGAATTCTTAACAAGGCAGGAATAAAAACGGCATTCAAACCCACAAACTCAATTAGAAACAAGCTTTGTCGTTTAAAGGATTGATCCTGTGGAGCCTTTAAAACAAAACAATTTAGTTTATCTAATACCCTGCAGTGATTGTCAGGTCAAATACATAGGTCAAACTAGTAGAACAGGGGCAGTCAGACTAGCTGAACATAAAAACTTAGCAAAATCTAGATTGGTTGACCCGAATAACATAAGAAATCTAGAGAATAGTTCAGCTATAGCACTACATGCAGTCACACACAACCATACAATAGGATGGGATAGGATGACAGTTTTAAAATCTAATGTCACAGGGTGTAGGGAGAGATTGATAACAGGAGCTTTGTTTATCGAATCAACTGAGAGAGAATACGTGTAATAGGAATGATTCATCACCTGTCCCCGATATCTGGAAAATTCTACTACCCTTACGACAAATAGGAGGAAACAAAGAAAACTATAAAACTCAAGTTTCGAAGTCGTGTGATTATAACTGATGGCATGATTATGAACAATAAATTTTGTTCGAAACTGTGTCATCCAGTAAATAATACTGTTCCACTGTGTGATATACCTAATAAACAAACTAATATGGAATTACTTACTACCACAGTGCCCAAGTTTTACACATATATTAAAACACGTCTTACTGATGAGCCACGATAGGCCCAAAGCCTAGATCTACAAATACTTTACGGTTGCCTTCAACTATTTAGTATCATATTTTGACTGGACACTAGCCAGTGACTAGTGTAATGTGTCTAGTCCTATCTTTGCAGCAGACTCATTTCTATCGAAAATCAAAACAAGTGGGGATTCAGCGAAGAGACTGTTTTCAACGAATTTATTGTCAAGCTGTACAGCTGTTCATATGTGGTTTTTAGGAAATTATATCCGGTGAGGAGATTGAATCATAGGTATAGATACATAAAATAATAATAGTAGTAGTGTGGAATGCAATTGAAATGCTTGTGATTATAACCATAGTTCAATGTGAAGCGGAAAAACAATTAATGTCATATATAGAATAATTCATAGGATGTATAGAACTTGGAAGGGGTCTGAAAGTATGGAATTAGTAGGCAAATAGAATAAAAGTAAAAACTTTATGTTACATTGTGTGAACTGTGATAACATAGAATTTAACATTGCAAAATAAAATCGATTTAAAATGACAAGTAAGACGAGTGAAATACAACCGAGGACAATTCAGAGTGAGAATAATGATAGTAACGATTGATGTAATAAAGGAAGAGTATACAAATTGAATAAACAAAAGGAAGAATAGGAAAAGACCATGAAAGTTGGATGGGTTGAACGAACTTTTCCTGTATAAAGAGCTCTGGCTTCTCTGTTTCGGGGGTCAGAGCCTCAGAAATACAGATGAGCCGGATTCGTAATAATTTGTGCAGGTTATATCTTTCGCCTTGTAGATGACTTTAAAGGCTGAGGCTGTAGAGATAGGGTGAACATTATCGACCAGATGTTCATTTATCGCAGTTCTTATAGCTCTACTTCCACCTCTTCGTAGTCATACAGGAAAGTGTTCTTGCACACTCTTGGACAAAACACGAGTCAAGTGACCGATTTGCCTAACTCCACACGAGCAGGTGAGTTGGTAAACGCACACGGAGTTGGTCAGCTGTAGGATCTCGTCCTTCAGGTAATTGAACATTAATGGTCGACTAGAAAACACTATTCTCAAGTAGCAGGAGGGAATATCCTTTCCAGGGGATGTGAGATCCTTCTTTTTAATGATGTCGGCAGCTAAGTCAAGTTTGCAATGTGGCCACCATGCCAGGCGGCTCGCTATCACGGTACACTATGAATTGTTGATATTAGATGGTTGAAGATGGAGGAATCTCAGAATCAACATGAGTTCCTTCAAGGTTGCACATACGCCTTGCTGACTGGTGAGTGCCGACTAGCACGAAACCTAGGTCCAAGGCTTCCTGTCGATTGCCTCCAGCCATCTAATATTTAGCATCATTTCAAAGTCTACCACGTTGTCTGGTCACTTGATCAGATTTTGCACCTGACTGGTAGGATGAAATTAGCGTCAGTACCAAGGACTAGACATCCTTTAAACTATTTAACAAAATCATAATTATATGTTACAGGCAAGTGGACGGCGTGGCAATGGGTTCCCCATTGGATCCCATTCTGGCTGATTTCTTTCTAAGTAAGCCAGAAAATGGACCTCTGAACAACCTTATCCCTAAGCTCTCATTTTATTGCCGATATATGGATGATACCTTTATTCTTTGCGATAATGGTTCCGATAAGAGTACAATAATTACTGAATTCAATGAAGTACATTCGGCTATGAAATTCACATGCGAAGAGAAATCCCAAGACAGAATTGCCTTCCTGGATGTCCTACTTACAAGAAAACTAGATGGCAGCATAAAAAGAAATTTACATAGAAAAAGTACTTGGACAGGACAATATACACAATTTCACAGCTTCGTTCCCATCAAATACAAAAGGAATTTAGTGAAGACCCTCAGCCACAGAGTTAGAGCTATATGCTCAGAAGAAGTAATTAAAGATGAATTAAGTATGGTATATGATACTTTGATCGAAAATGGCTATCCCGACAAATTTATCAAGAAACATATGACAAATAAAGCCGAAAACGACTACCCACTATCTGTAAACAAGAAGCCACTTTATATACGACTACAATTCATGGGCGATATAACAAGCGAGTTAATTACGAAGAAATTAAGAAAATCAGTTCAAAGAACTTTTAATGCTGGCGAACTACACGTCTTATTTTCTACACGACCGATGGTGCTACCTCGACTGAAAGATGAAGTACCTAAACTAGCTAGCCACTTCCAATTGTATCTACCAATTGAACTGCGCTTGTGGAGCGAGTTATATTGGCCGTTGCTCTAGGAACTTGATTTTTCGTGCTCACTCGAGAACATATCCCACTATGACTAAGTAAAGGTGTAGTTAAAACTATTAACAGCTCGATATTAGACCATCTGGTGCAAACCGGTCACAAAGCCAGCGTAGAAGAATCCTTCTCTATAATATACCGGGTGCCTAACAAACTACCAAAATCATCGAAGCATCGCATGCTCCAAACAGCAGAGGCTATTGCAATTCGCCTCAAACAACCAGTGCTCTGTGTTCAAAAGAAACAAGTCCAGCCCCTACTACTGACCTGATCCTCAGTAGAAACTATAAACTCATGAATTTGTACTATTATCTTTCATAATTCTTCTGACATTCAGCTTATTTTATGTTGATGCTATTCAGCTGTAATCTATCAAAATTACTGATTTGATGTTATTTAAACATTAATGTCGTTCATAAGACTAATTCATTCGTTCATTATAATGTATATATAATTGTAGAACCTGATGATGAATTTATCGAAAAGAGTACTCTTTGGTCCGTGTCCATTCTTTAAAAAAAAATTATACATTCACTGACTGAGTCGTGATTACAAAACTTTCGGTAGATTGAACAAGATTTAAACAAAAATGATATAATAATCAAGAAAATAAGCACACAATTCGATGATGGTATATACTACTGATTTATTGATATGAGTAGTTGAAACCACTCAAAGTAAACAATAGCGTTTGATACTAAAATCTAAATAATCTAGGCACCAAATTATCGACTGTTACGTTCATTTAAAGCCGAACTCATCGGTAGCCTACCAGCTTTGAATCAACCTAGGCATCCAAATCAGTTCATCGGGCACATTAAGTTCTTAGCTGAAGATGAAGTAAATTCGAAAGCAAATTTAAAAACCACAATTTCATCCCTGTGGCTCAAAAAATTCAATAAATTATTTTAACAAAAATTAAGTATACTGAAAGTCAAACACTGACTGAATAAAGCCGTTTTTATGCACGGGTATTCATTCATTCGTCTACATAAGTGACACACTGGTAACAGTTATATATTAACTGCCTTAAATAATTCAGTGATTATTTTTTACAACTTCTTTATTCTGAATTTTTCTATTAGACATTACAAGAAATTATGGATACAGAACGTGAGATTGAATCAATTAAAAATGCTATTCGTGACAAAGAAGCTTATCTTAAAACAGCGACAAGTAGATTGAATATTCGATTACAAAGACCAGGTATGGATCATGTATGTGATGCAGCACAAACACAGTAAGTGAATATCACTTTGAGATACTCTTATTGTTGTTATTGTTTCCTGATGTTCCAAACGGAACAGTAAGCTTCGAAAGAACATCTCCATTTCACCGTCTTAACCGTAGTCCATTTTAGATGACCTCACAACCGCCCATAAGTTTCCACTTTCTGTTCACACGACTTCCTCCATGTCATTGTTGGACTCAAGCCCAACTCATGGAGTCCCATTTGGGTTCCACTCGAGGGCCTATTTGGTGAGTGATGACACTCTCAGTATATGCCCAGTGCGCCTCTATTTCCTTCTGCATGATTCTTGGTTAGTATGACCTTCAATATCATTTAATAATTGTCATTTATGTAGTGGGCAAGATGATTGAAAGTAAGATGAAAATTTTTGTCGCAGAAGTAGTAGAATCAGCAGCCCCAGAATTAATCATCCAGCAGCACTTCACCAACTTAGCCACAAGATGACCACAGTAAAATAATCACCTGGTTTCAAGTTAGGTCTTGTATCACAGGTGGCAGAATGCCGGATTAGTTTTTCCCAGACGACTAGTTCAAATCTTCCTTGTTAGCAGGATTTTTATTTCATCTGCAATCACTAACCACCGCATTATGTACTGTGTGATTTCTGCTAGATCTAAGGACGCAGTTATATATGATGAATGCTCCTGAAGGAAAACAAAAATGAGTGACAAGTTATACAAAGTTTAAACAAAAGATTCGATTTACAGTTATAAAAAATGAAAATTACAACATGACTGTTACATGCGTCATGTATGACCATAGTCAGGAGATCACATTATATTGAAGGAGACAGAGAGAGTCAAAACTTCTCGAGGCTGGATGTGTTCTAATAAATGCACATAACTGCTTGTATTAACTTTAGAATTACTACAGTTATACATGTTGTGTATGTGTGTGTGTGTGATCTAAGGAACCATAGATGATTTAATGAGCAATTCTCGGCTTCACATTTTTAAGGTATGTACTTAGGTATGTATAGCTCAACCTCTGAGACGAGCATAAGGATACTGGTAGGATCAACCAATTTATTCACACACAATAATTCATCAGCCGACTGAAAATTTATACACTGGTTTACGAGAAGGCTGAAAACACTTTTCCCTTCCTCTTGTGAGACCAGACTAGCAGTCAGAATCATTCTATGGCGCAACAGCTCGAAAACTGTCCCTCTGTTGACCATTCGCTCCATTAGTAAATACATTTATGTATCGGTAAACACAGTTACTCGGATGAGAACCAGTGCTTTCAACGTGGTATGGTCGCCGAAGTGCGTCGGTTGCATAGCGGTTAGGATGCTCGCCGACCATGCATATGGTCCCCGGCCGACGTACTCCTTTACCTCGCTCAACCAGAAATAAAGCTGGTAAAGGGGAAAGGTTGGGCATGAGGCTAGCAACCTCATCCTGTAAAAATAAACACTGCTAAAGAAACTGCAAGCCTCTAGCTTGAAGCCCTATGTCCCACTGGGAACGTGAAGGAATAAACAAGACACAGTCACTCCGATTAGCTACCGCATCAATCAGTATAGACAAGCCCAACAGAACTCATCTGGCATACAAGACTAGCTAAATGCTTTATTATAAGCAAGATTAGCGAGAATGGCAACACTATAGTAGACAAGCCCCCTTGTAAATGAAGTTAGCACCCACCTAATTAAATGAAAACGTTAACACCGACAGCCATTTTTGCATGTAAATAGTCTGTTCACGTCTAGAAAGACTTTAGAAAACCATCCACAATCATATTAGCCAGGCATAAGAGATTGATATACCCAACACTCATTCCTTCTACATAGAGGGATCTAGTATAATGTGTTCTACTTGTGAACAGATACATGAAGTATTTTAAAGTGATAATTTGTCTATTGATGGGAAAGTAAGTGAAAAATAAGTGAGGAGAATCCAAAACGAAACAGACAATAACGAAAACAAAACACATATTTCGGTGAAGAGACACTTTAACTGTACAACCGCATTCATATAGAATTTCTCATGATAAAGGGTAATCATAGAAGTGATGAGTTGTCACAAACATAGTTGTTAATATTAGTCAATGCATAAAAGGAGTTGAATATGTGCATTAGAGTGACGTGATAAGATGAGTAATTTTATTAAGTGAGGTGTAATTAGGACGTACATAGAAACGAAGGAGAATATAGAATTATATAAGAGTTCTAGAGAAATAGAAGAGATATAAGGAGTTAGAAAAGCAAAAGGACAAAAATGAAGTCAGTACAAATCAGCAAAGTTGTTACCATGCTAGTAGAAGTGATTGAATAATTTACTTTTGTATGCATAGCACCAGTTTCTCTGAATGTCCACATTTCAAGGAAGACAACCTGTGACATCCTTAAGAGAAGAACTTCATCATCTTTGAGGCGAACATTCTTCACAGCAACTCTAAGAATAGTTTTCTTCAGTCCTTCATTGGTCTTCAAAAGCCTTAAGGTAAGATCTTACATCTGTGACCGATTCTCTGTGTGTATATCAGTTCACCTATTCTTGTACAGCCAGGTATGTTGGTCGTTCGACGCGTTTCTGGTCTAAGAGGTTTCGAGAATACCGCCTAGCATGGTTGCAGAAAGGTAGTAGTATTCACTCTATTAGGAGTGCGATAATGGAACACCTTGTCAACACTGGTCATTCTATCTGAACAAACTCCTCTTCCAAAGTAATCTAAAAAAAGAAGAACAACCTCCTAAAAGCAATAGACTTTTGTCTTCTTCGCATTTCTGAAGCTTTAGACATTCACTTAAAAGAAACCGGAGCTATTCATACATAAAAGAAAATTATTCAACCACTTCTACTAGCATGGTAACAATCTTGTTGACTTGTACTGACTTCATTTTTGTCCTTTTGCTTTTCTAACTCCTTACAACTATTCTGTATCTCTACAGCTCTTGCATAATTCTATATTTCCTTTGTTTCTATGTACGTCCTAATTACACCTCACTTAATAAAATTACTCATCTTATCACGTCACTCTAATGCACATATTCAACTCCTCTTTTATGCATTGACTAATTTTAACAACTATGTTTGTGATAACTCATCACTTTTGTTACCACCATCTGTCATGAGAAATTCTATATAAATACGATAGTACAGCTCTTGCAGAGAAGAGCCAGTTATCGTTTAACTGTGTGTGTTTTTTCCTCATTGTATTTTAATCCCAAGAGATCAAACGCCCTCTGTCACTAGGTTCATTCAATTAAATGCCTTTTACCGATTATTTCGAAAGCCTGTTTTCAATTTTTTAACTAATAACATTCTCATCATCGAAATTAAAACATTGTCATTATTATTATTATTGGGTTCCTAGTGGAACATAGGGCTTCAACTGCACATCTCCACTTCCTCCTGTCTTCTGCTGTACTTTTCACTTGCATCCATCTTAGTCCATACTGTTTCAACTCTTCTTCACACGGTCTCCTCCATGTCACCCTTGGACGTCTCACTCGCCGTTTCCCTTTCGGGGTCAACTCGGGCTATGGCCTGACGTGCGATGTCACCCACCCAGCGGCCTCCTCAGCGAGTGTCCAATCCATCTGTGGTTCTTGATTTGTTTGTTCCCATAGTTTCTTGTTGGTGATTCTTTCCAGCCATCTGGTCTTGAGTATAGAACGAAGGCAGCTGTAGATAAAGGTCTGCAACAGGATGTTGGAAATATTCTTTGTGACCCGCCAAGTTTCTGATCCATGCGTATAGAAGAACTGACTGACTTGACGTTTGTATTGAAAATCCGAATCATTTTGTTGTTGATGCTGAGTTGAGTGACAGCGGAAGATTTCCAGGCTGGTGAATGTGTTACTCGCCTTCCCGATTTTCGATTTGACATCCTCGTCCGTTCCTCCTGTAGTTGAGATAATGCTCCCTAGATAAGTGAATGAAGTAACCTCTTTCAAATCCCTCCCGTTGATGGTGATTGGAGCTGGATGTTGCTGCTGTTGTTGTTGTTTGGTTATTTTTATAACCTCCGTCTTGTCTATGTTCACCTGGAGTCCTGTCTTCTCTGGCTGCTTCTTCTACCAGTTTGTCAGTTTTCGCTTGTAAGTCTTCGATTTTGTGTGACATCAAACATAAATCATCCGCGAAATCCGGGTCTTCTAGGTTCTTCACGTCGGTCCAGGATATCCCTGTTTTTCCGTTTCCTACAGTCTGGCGCATAATCCAGTCCGCCACAATTAGGAATATCATTGGTGATAATAAGCACCCTTGTCTGTCTTCTGCGTTTACTCCAAAAGCCTCCGTTGTAGATCACTTGACATGTGCCGTTGTCATACAGCTGTTGAATAAAGTTGATGAATAATTGGGGTACGCCGTAGTACTCGGTCAACGCTTTCAAATGCCTTCTCAAAGTCTATGAAAGAAGTTGAAGTAGAGGTTTGATTGCCATTCCATGCTTTGTTCTGTGATGATGATGCGTAGAGTTGCGATTTAGTCAGAACATGATTTGCCTTTCCTGAATACAGCTTGTTGTGATCAGAGTTCTGTATCTAGTGCGTCCTTGATTCTCTCCAGGATGATGCGACTCAGGATTTTACTTGGCGTCGACAGGAGCATGATTCCTCGCCAGTTCTTGCAGAGTCCTAAGTCGCCCCTCTTTGGTAGTTTCACGAGGTAACCTTTCCTCCAGTCAGTAGGCACCTTTCCCTCCTTCCAGACTTTTTGCAATAATGGAGTCAGCAGATATGCTTACTCCATTATCATACTACCTTTATTATTATTCTTTTCGTCAAATTATTCTACCTTTGTCATCATTACCTTTTCTATCATTATCATTATTACTGTTAGTATTATTGTAGTCGTTGTTATCACAGACAGATTTACAGCATTTAACAGTTATCATATTTTGTCTACAATTTCACCGATCTATATTCACTTGAGTAAGACTTGAAGAAAATCTAATTAAAGTATTCCTCAAAATTCCAACAAACATAAAAAACAAACAGTGCTGAATTAAATATGTAAATAAAAATCACCTAGGTA